TTCCGGGTTTTCATCTAAAAAAAAGCGACATTAATTTCTTGACGACCTAATAGTTACTTTTACATTCAAATGAAGTCAGTTTTTTCCATATATAATAATTTGTTCTTATATGTGTACTGAAATAACAATTTAAAATATTAGCTAAACAAACATTCTAGAAAATCGTGCTTTCCTGTGCAGCTTTGCGCCAGTAAAATGTGTTATATTTTTATTTGGAAACTGCCATAATTAGGTGACATTGAAAAACTTAAATTTTTTTTATATCTTATTTTAACCATACTGTATGTTTTAGCACAGTCTTTATCAGATTAGATTTGTTTCGAAACTGTGGGCACTCTAAGTAGTTTTAAACAAACATTCTGTTAAAAAACTCGTTACATTCTTGTAATGATACTCATATTACTTGCAGGGCTGGTGAATCTTATTTCATTACTTTCAACAAAACTTTATCGTAAATGAGTTAAATCTTTGAAACATTTCCTATGAATATAATACAGGAGAAAAATCCCAACATAAAAATATATTAAAATGTAAAATAGAAACAGCTTAAAGGGGTAAAAACGTTTTTGTTTTTTTTAAAGAGGGAGTAAAATGTTTCAGCTACGCATGTGGTCATTTTCAGGTACGAGTACAACATTTAGATCAAACATACGGCTATCTTCAAATTTGAGTACAAGGTTTCGACCACATATGTGGCCAACTTCAGGTACATGTGTAGTCCTACTTCATTTTTAATTAAAAAAGGGTTTTTTACCCACTTTAAGCTGTTTTATTTTTATACTACACTTTCTTATGAATATATGAAGTTTCAGTGCTACACAAAAATAAAATAGACTTGTTCTATATACTATTTAAGCTTTGCTTTTTCTATGTGCTAAGTATATTGAAGCCAGTAATGAAATACATGGCTTGACTTCTATTTCTTGAAACTTAATAATCAATGATCCTGTAAGTAATGTTTGTTTTTTTCATTTTGGTGTTACTGCAGTCTGGTACTACTGTTTTTCTCTGCGACTTTCCTGATGTACAGAATAGCAATGGTTCATCGACGAGTAGCAAATGCTGAACGCACGTATTTCTCTTCTGAGGATAAGTACGATTTTTCAATCTATTGCTTTTAAATTTCATATGCCTCTTTAAGACGTTTATTGGCTCTAATATCAAAAATATTTTGATCAATTTCAAGATTTTTCAGTAGATAATCGGTGTTTGTTGTTCAATAAAAAGTAGTATTTTTTTTATCTGAACCAGGTGTATAATTATTTACAAGTAATAACAAACTGTTTGCAAAAAGTAAGTATGATGTAGGGATGACAATGCCAAAGAGTACAGAAACGAGGTAGGAATAACACAAGATCATAAAAACTCACTATATAAATAACCAGATCTTTCCACGAATAACTTTTATCTACAACAAATGTTGAATTCCTGTCAGTTGCACGAATTCAGGTTTGAATAAAATCATTTAAAAACTCAATAGTGCAATACAGTCTTACAGTGGCTAACAACCATAACCTTGTAAGATTAACTCAGTATTGACTGGCTACTTATGAAGAGATATTTGGTATGGTTTTGTATATTCATCTCTGTACTTTTCTGTTTCTGTACTTTTTGACATTACCAGCCTCACATAATACTAAATGTTTATAATTTTTTATTACTTTTTTCCCATCCTTTTTTAAAACAATTTCATTGAACTAGATTGATAAGTGAACATTTGTTTTATTTTATAATTCAATTCTACGGTAATATATATTGTTAATATAAAATGCTTTTTGTAAGTTTCTGTAATTCTGGACTACATTGGGAGTCAGTGAAGCTGGATGGTACAAGTACCCTGGAGCACTGTACCAATGTTAAAGGGATTTTTACAGAACCCATGCCTTTCAACTTCACCCCAACTCACTACATGTGCATACAACCAGCTCCACCACATTCTAGGGTCGTGTTGATTAATAGGGCGGACAGATCCCAGGTCATGAAGTGTGATATCACGCATACATACTCGAACCCATTGAAAATTTGAAGAAAAGTAGACTGCTATATAATTTACAGCTTTAATAATTAAGAAACTGGTGTTTTTAAACTCAGACATCAATAACATGTACACAGATCTGTCAGTTGCGTAAATACCTTTTTTAGACCTTGAATATTACTTTAGATCATTCTTTATTTATTTATTTTTACTAAAATTATTTTGACAGATATCATGTTTGTGCAATTAAAAGTCAAAAACGGTCGTTATATAAGTATAATTTGTGCTTCCATCTAGCGACCAAAAATGGTACTGTTATTTATGAAACATGGAAATAATATATTATTATAAACTGAACTCACTACTAAATAGTAGTTTTCCTTTTTATTATTTCCCCACAAAAATACGTGTGGTAGAAGAAGAGAATAATATTACTTTATACAAGCTGTGAAACACTCGATAATGGCAATTAGGTGCTCAAATGAGACTACAACTAAACTTTAGCAGTTATTTGTAAGCACCATAGAGTAAAAGATTGAATGCCGCAGCCTTTTTTTTCTCGGCCCACCCCTAGATACTAAGCACTAGTGCTTAGTGATATATATACACAATCATTTTATAAAACGTACTTTCAGCAGTCAGGCTTACAGTGGAATATATTATAGCTGGAGCCTTAATATGATGATAAGTGGATAATAAGTTCATCAACATAATAGGTATATAAGATTTGTGCAGATAACTTTCCTAGATAATTTTTATAACATTTAAACATGTTGTCTTCAGACTGCTGTACTACAGGGAGAAAAGAAAAGGACAAAGTAAAATAATAAACGAAGAAGTGACAGAGTTAACAACAAACCTTAGGAACCGGATCAATCAGCTCATTTTGGTAGGTCACTTTTCAGAATTTTTACTATACATATTTTTCTTAAAACTAAAGTGCGGGCGGGTTTTTAGCATAGAAATATTGTCAGCAAATAAGAATGTTTTTACATCATATTGGAGACTGCAAGTGGTACACTGAAGAAAGTATCAAAATTTTATCATCTTCAACTTATGTTTACGCAACGCTTACTGTGCCAAAGAGAAGAGGAGCTGTAAAACCAACAGAACCTGCTGTTGATTAACAGTCCCCCTGGCAGTAAAAGTAAACTGTTCTAATAATTTATGCAATAACAATTAATTTGGTAAAGTACCGACGACATACCAGCACATTTTTTTGTAAGAACAATTATTTCTTATTGAAAAACTTTAAGAAATTGTTTATTATGAACAGGACAATGTTTATATGTAGTTTTGCATAGCTACAAAATATACGTAATTAAAAGAATATTCCAATTGTTGAATTTCGTACTAAAAATGTCGGTAAATACCTTTCAATTATTTAAACTATACCATTTAATATAAGCACTGTTCAAAACGTTTTTATATTTGGAGGATATTAAAATATTATATTTTTAGAACTTTTGCCATTCATTACTTTGTGCGTTTATTGTCAGTTTTGTCTAAATGAAATGTAGCAATGTCAATTTTAAGTACATAATTTGAAAGAAAATTTTATAACAAATATTTCATTACCAGACTTTGACTGAGGTTTGTACTTTATCATTTACCTTTTTTCCTATATTATTAGGTTAGAAAATCCCTGGCGGAGCTCATGGATGTAACGATACACGAACAAAGCCCTTGTAGCTCTCCAAGTGGGAAATTTGCTGAAAGAGGGCAGTGGATGGTTGTTGGTACCTAAAACTACCAAGCTCTTAAGATGAATTTTACCGAAGTTTGGAGATGCATAAAACCAAATATATATGTTCCAAAATAATCTAGTCATACTATACCTAGTTATAACACAAATTCATTTACAAATGATATTAAATTATAAAAAATGAAGCTTAGTTGATGTTGTAACTGTTTGTCAACCTATCTTTTAAATTATTTCATATTCACTGTATTCACTTAGATTTAGAATTGATTCATCTTTTGTTTGTTTTAAAACACCTATGATAATGATAACATTGACTACTAGTACAGATTGATGGCACATTAACGAACACCAGACCACTGTATTGTGTTATTTATAAGTTCATGGATTTATTTAACATTCAAATAAATGAAGTTTTGTATAATTGTACTTTTTCACTTTTGTTTTAAAATTGAATCTTGTTTTTGAATATAATCTTTTAATTGTTATATTTTCAAAACGAGACCCAAAACTCTAGAGCTTTCGAATAGTGGATTATTCTTCTTCAGGAGAATAAAGGGTTATGTTTAATGGGTGTGATGAAATATATAGGCTCGGATGTCAATGTCACGTAAACTGGGTGTTCAATATGAGTCTTTTAATTGTTTTTACTCTTAAAGACAACGTATGTATTAAATTTCGCCCATTCCCAGCTTAAATAGTTAAGTATTAGGGATATGGGTATTTTCTAAGAACCATCCTCATTCTTGTAAGGATTTCAGAAATCTTAAGAAATCTTTAACTTAGAATATGAAAAAAACAACCAAAGTGTTAAGTTGATTAAGAAAGTATATTTAGTCACATGTTTTCTCTCACTATGTATTTATTTAATAGTATGTTAACATGCACCACACTGAGTGTAATTGTTTATTGAAAGTAGCTGTATTTGACTTTCAACAACGAGATAAAATCAGCGAATTACTACATGTACAAATTGATTTGTGTCTTATTTTTATAAAACGCTTTCCAGTTTTTGCATCACTTCAATATTTAATTTCAATTCTTTGAAACCAAAATAGGTGATTACTGCATTTGTGTATTGGTCTAGCTATTAGGTCGTCAAGAAATTAATGTCGCTTTTTTT